GGTGTACATGTATTCAAGTTGGAACATCTAACATGAGAGGTCTGGGAAAAATGAGGCCCTCCAGATACTGTTGGGCTTTTACTTCCCATTAGCCCTGGACATAATTAATGTCAAGAATGACAAGAGCTGAAGTGCAACATCCAGAGGCTACAGCTTCTATGCTCCCTCAGTATGACCAGAGGATGGGTAGCCATGTTGTCTTCCCAGGCAGGTCTTCAGGGAAACACATCAGTATATCTTGCAACCAACGTATGTTGTGGCAATGATGCCTAGGCAGGTTATTTGCTTAGCTGTACTACCAAGCCAACACCATCCAAAATTTGTGAGAATGCAATATGCATCAATCAAAATGTGGAAGAATTGCCTTGGAAAGGGAGACTGCATGTCTTCTGTCCAGGGCAAGCCAGCTAAGAGGAAAGGCTTAAGTACCAGTTTATCCTGGCAAAAGAAAGGATGCTATGGCTATCTCCCAACTTCAGATTCTTGGCCAATCTGAGTGACTGCAAGTGGAGCCGTAACAAAGAATGGTTCCTTGACCCAAACAAACATGTAACAATAAATATGTCAAATAATATGAAGGATAATTGTGTTCACCTTTTGCAGTAAATGCATAAATAAGTAACATTCTGACACACCTTTGAAACTAGTGAATAGACTATTTTGTGAACTGGTTTATGCTCTAGAGATTATAGCAAAGCCTTTGACGCTAAGAGGAAAGGCTTAAGTACCAGTTTATCCTGGCAAAAGAAAGGATGCTATGGCTATCTCCCAACTTCAGATTCTTGGCCAATCTGAGTGACTGCAAGTGGAGCCGTAACAAAGAATGGTTCCTTGACCCAAACCTAACAAACATGTAACGATAAATATGTCAAATAATATGAAGGATAACTGTGTTCACCTTTTGCAGTAAATGCATAAATAAGTAACATTCTGACACACCTTTGAAACTAGTGAATGGACTATTTTGTGAACTGGTTTATGCTTTATAGATTATAGCAAAGCCTTTGATAATGTGGATCACGAAAAGCTATGGATTATAGCAAAAGAAATGAATGTGGCAAATTTGTCTCGATATATAACTTACATTCTAGACAAAAGATTAATGTGAGGACAGAAGATGGAGAAACAGAATAGTCTGCAATTGGGTATGTTTTATCTCCCTATCAGTTCAATCTACATGCAGAGTATAATAATGCAAAAAGTCAGTTTAGATTTATATGACAGAATGCAAAGTCGGTGGAAAAGAAAGTCAGTTGTTTAAGATATGCAGATATCATACTGTCATCAGAAAATACCAAATATTTGAAGTGAACGCAGATGAAGATTAAAGAAGAAAGTGCAGAAACAGGATTCAGTTGAACATTTAAGATAATAAAAATCATAAGTACAGAATAAATATTGCATATCTTTAATGTTGGCAATAAAGTAATAGAAATTGCTAAGGATTTTCTATGCTTTGGTTCAAACATTAACCAAAATAGAGATTGCAGTCTAGAGATCAGAAGATGACTGAGATTTCAGAGCTACCATGTTTTTCCGTGTATAAAACAACACATTTTCCCTAAAATAATTAGAGAAAAAATTGAGGGTTGTTTTATACATGGAAGGCAGCAGCAAGAGGCGGAGACTGAGGCAATGAAGCAGCTGGGCTCGGCAGCCTCTCTTGGCTGCCCACTGACTGCTGCCACCGGCACCTGATTGCCCCCTCCAGCAATCGTCTCCTTGCGATTGGGTGGCGGCGGTCCTCCGATGGTGCTTCCCCAACTCCCTAACTGGTAAGTGACTTTTTCAGAGTTTTTTGGCCCATAGGAATGCATTAATTACATTTCAATGCGTTCCTATGGGAAAACTTGCCTCGCAAGACGAAAATTTCGCAAGACAATAGGTTTTGCGGAACAAATTATTTTAGTCTTGTGAGGCACCACTGTAGTTACAAGACCTGTGTTAGTGAAAGGAAGGGGGAAAGCCTCTAAAAAATACTCAATACAATTTTGGAGAGGTAATCTGTAATAAAATATTATTAAATAGAGTCCCGTGGGTATGGGGTGCACGTTAGAATTTAGTTTATAATATGTACTATTACTTGTATTTTTTTCTGTATTTTTGTTATGTATGTGTGTTTTTCGGTGTATTTTTTGTATAAAATAAAATTAATTATCTAAAAAAACAAGACCAAAACCCCTGGCATAAACCACAGCTCCACCATGAAGACACTGCAAAAGGGTATCCTTTTACGCAACAAACTAGGGGCCTGTCTACACTGGCATACAGATCTAGTATAGGGATTAGTGTAGATTGGAAAAAAAACTTGCCCACAAGCGTTTCTACCTACAGTGAGCCATCCTTCCCCCTTTAAGAACTGTCACACACCTTTCTGGTCCAGTGGTAGGGCATGCATTCTTTTTGGCCCACTCAATTGTTTGGCCCACTTCAGCAGCCTCTGCTATTGTGGCTGCAAATTCTGAGAGAGGAGAGAACAAGGGGGGAGGGAGAACAAAGGAAGCAGGGAGGGGGGAAGGGAGGAAACAGAATGGCATTGACAGAGGGAGAAAGGAGTAACGGAAAAAATAATTCCACATCCCCTAACCCTATGCAGACATCGGGGAAGTGTTTATTTAACAGCTGATGAGTTGTTTGCTGTTTGGAAGGGAGGAGCACACTAAATGGCACATCATTCCTCCCCCGACTTCAACAGACCTCAATTCACCTTACACCAAAAATGGCCAGTCTGGATAAGCCCCAAAACAGCGAACAATGGGGTAAGCCTCGAAGAGTTGCCAAGGAAAAATATCTTGTGTTGCCCAAAGCATTTCAAGAAAGTCTTCACTTGGGTGACAGTTCCAAGTTCTTATATGGTGCAAGCATTTTCTTGCCAAATAAGAATGTGCTCTTTTCACTCCTGAAAAAGATTTTATCTCAGCACTTTGGGGAACTCCATAAATTCTTCCATGGCACCTCTTTTAAATTTTATCTCTTCATCCGTCAGTTATTTTACTGCTGCTCTATTATTTTCTTTGGCCTTACAGATACTGCTCTTTCTTACTTTCAACCATGTCTTACCACTGATGAAATATATGCAGTTAATAATATTGGTCTACCGTATAGGTTACTGGAAGAACAACCAGGTCATGTAATGTTTTCTGATCAGGTGTGGAAAAGAGTACACACTCTGTTGAGTACACGGAGATGGAATGTGGAATGCCTAGAAGATTCTGGTGTTCAGTAAAACAATGGGTCCAAACAGCCTCCTCACCAGGCTATGTTCCCTCTTTCTTCCTCAAGACACCAACAGATGTGCTAACAAAAACCTCTTTCCTCAGTTTAGCACCACAGCAGATTAGGAGCAGACACGGGATGGGAAGGAAGTAGGTTGATCTGCAGGTGATCAGTACATCAGCCAACTGCTTTAACACCAGTTGCAGGAGCTCCTTCCTAAATTAAAGTGCTAAGACCAGGGAAGCTTGGGTAGAACCAGATATATTATAATAAGAGTTGGGTAACACCCTATTACCCATGTGGTACAACAGAAAGTGTGTCAAACTGCTACACTCAGCCATGGAATCCAACTGGGGGGGATGACAATAGTAAAATATTCCTTGCACACATGTCGCACACCTCAAATACACTGCTAAGGTGTTTGAGGTATGTGATGACACATAAGAAGAACAATACCTTTATTGGACCAGCACGATACATTAAAAAGGCGAGCTTTGGAGTCCTCCAGGGCTCTTCTTCAAGCAAGGCATTAGAGAACACAGAGTTGACAGAAAAACAGAAAAGTGTAAAAATATCTGGACTAGCCATTAAACTACCTTGGGCCCTCTTGGGGAACAGGTGTGTGAGCATGTGCGTGCGTGCACGCGCATAAACAAACCAAACCACTGGATCTGTAGTTAAATTAGAGTTCCAGGCTGCATACATGAAGAACGAGAATCAGTTAGTTTCACCATCCCCAGAGGTGAAACCACCTCTGAGGATGTATAATGAAGTGATTCTCTCCACCTCTACAGGCAGAGGGCTGCCAGACACTAAGTGAACCATCCCTTGATCTTAGTTGAAACAAGCTTCTCTTGCACAGGCCAGGAGAAGCAGCACCAAGAAATATATTCGTGAAGGCTTTCACGGCCGGGATCTAATGGTTGTTCTGGGTTTTTCGGCCTCTTTGGCCATGTTCCGAAGGTTGTTCTTCCTAATGTTTCGCCAGTCTCTGTGGCCAGCATCTTCAGAGGACAACACTCTGTGCTCTCAGAGGACAGCAACCGGTGTTCTCATGAGCACAGAGTGCTGTCCTCTGAAGATGCCGGCCACAGAGACTGGCGAAACGTTAGGAAGAACAACCTTCAGAACATGGCCAAAGAGCCCGAAAAACCCAGAACAACCATTAGCACCAAGAAACATGGTAATCTCTACATTAGAGACACCAGAGACTGAATTTATATTTGGATTTCAGAGAAGATACAGAGTGGGAGGATGTGTGTGCAAATTTCAGTTCTAGTAAACGTCCACCCGCTCTATCCCCAGAAGAAACTACTGTAGCAACTTTCCTAGGCTGTCTGATTAGGTAAAAGGGAAGGGGTTCCCTACTCGCCAAGTCCTACCCCCAAAATGTATCCTTATAAGACAGACATGCCCCCTTGTCATTGCCATACCTAGCCTCATTCCACTTTGCTAACATGAGTCCAAATCATAAGATCAAATTCCTAAACTGTTCATACATTTTAATCTTAAGAGTCAAATGTGTAAATTGCAGAGAACCGGCAAAAAAGGAAATATAGTATGTGTAGTTAAAGTACCGTCTACTGGGGTTATACAACAACATTTTATCTCATTTTATTTATTACATTTATACTTATTAAACATCCTCTATATAGGAGCACATTTCCAGGCATAGACATTAAATTGTTAATTAAATTAATTATTTAATTGCGTAAGAGTCCCTTATGAGTTTTTTTATTGTTTAATAGTTGCTGTTATTTCCTCCAATCTGGAATTTATCGGTCATTTTTATAGAGAGAGTGAGTATTGAGAGTTCTCTTTCTGTTTGTTGTTGAAATTCATGATTATTATGTTGCTTTGTATTTACAGCTGCCCAGAGAAGATACTTGCTACTAGACAGGCAGAGGTATAGGGTTAACAGATAAATAAGATAGAGCTGAAAACATTCTACAAAAACAGAGAATGACCGCCAGACAGATTATGTTGAAGATGAGATTAAATGCTGTCTGCCAGCTTTTGTGCAGGTGTTTGGAGCAAGTTCCCTAAGGAAAAAAAAATACCAGGTCTTTCTTTGCATGAGTCAAGGGTCTGTTTTAATGATGTCTTTTGTCAGCCTACAGCTCTCCACTTGATACATGATCATGTTGACCTGGAATAACTGGACTTTTAGTCATCAGGTTGAAGTTGGCTACTATAAAAGCATGATGGCCTTTTTATGCTGCTGAAAATAAGTGAGCTGAGCTGTGGAAAAAAATGAACAGAGAAAACGTCCCATTGCTAGAAAGGATATAGGAAACACAATTCTCCCAAATCTGGTCTTTCTTCCTCCTGAGGCACAACAGTCATTAGCTCTCTTCGGACGTCTGTAAGGAGGTAGCAGGATGGCACCTCCCACTATTGTTCCACCTCCTTTGTCCCAGTGCTTGCTCTTCACCTTCCCAATCTGTCCATGGTGAGAAGACTGATCTGAAGAAGTGGTCCACTTGCAGTTAGCCGAGGAAAACGAAAGACCTCTTCCAGATATACCTAAGCAATTGTGTAGGCTGACGGGTGGGTGAAGAGAGACAGTAGGTACCGCTTTTAGACATTTATAATTTGTGGCCGATTGCCAGATATTTATGATTAGAATTTGTGATTCTAACTATACGACTTTATGTGGGTTGTTAGCTGTCCTGGACTCTCAGGAGGCATGGCAGAATATATGTTATACAAACAAACAAAACACCCTTCTTTAAGATAGAACACCGCTGTGGTGAGGTTGTGAACTTGAAACACTTTGGACGGCAGAGAAATATCCCATATTTGAATCCCACCCCCAACTAAAGTGAAGCAAACACCCTGATAGTGAAATGGTTAAATATAGCAAGTCCTAGCCATCTTTAAACTACAAACAAGAGGAGACCCTGAGGCAAGTTGTATTCTGCCCCATTTTAGGTCAACCCCCGCCATCCCACTTCTGCCTGCCTCCTTACCAGGGCTGAAGACCCTCCCCGCCGCTTCTGCTTTTCTATGCATAGTTATATGTTTATAAATACCCACTCCCTGTCACCACACATGACCAGCTGTGATGCTTTCGATTCCACCAATATTAAGTAAACATTCAATGACAGTGTAGTGTTCTTTGGAGAAATTCTGCATTTTGCTTCCTCCTTCCCTCCCTTCCGTGTTTTGTACACCTCATGGCAAGGGCAACTCGTACACATTGTGGTTGGTGGAATGGAAAGCACCACATCTGGTTGTGTGTGAAGACTGGGGGAGTGGGTATTTATTTATAAACATATACAGAAAAACAGAAGGGGACAGAAAACTGATGAGCAGAGACTGAATAGAGTACAGTGGTGCCTCGCATTGCGACATTAATTTGTTCCGCAAAAATCACTGTGGAACAAAAACATCACAATGCGAAATAAAAAAGCCCATAGAAACGCATTAAAACACGATTAATGTGTTCATATGGGCTTAAAACCCACCGTCCAGCGAAGATCCTCCATAGCGCGGCCATTTCTGGTGCCTCTTAAGCGAGGAATCTGTCCCAGAAAACAGCGGGCGGCCATGTTTTTTCCCCGGTGGCCATTTAGAAACCGCCGATCAGCTGGGCGAAAATTTTCGCTTTGCGATGATCGTTCATCGCAAAATGGAATTCCCCCATAGGGAACATCGGAAAGCGATTTCGTTGCTAAACGGAGCGATCGCTATGTGAGGCACCACTGTATTCTGGAAAACAACACACCTGATTGGTTGCAACCCTGAAAAAGCGTACACTCTGCAATATTTGTTGCAGTTCCGGTTTGGTATTCATATTTCAGACTGCTATCCTGTTCTGCCAATTGCAACAACTGATTGCAAGAGAATCACAACAAAAGTATTTTTTTCTTTACCTATACTGTAATTGCCTTGGCGTACATTATAACTGCTTTGCCATACTGTGAGAAAATTATACCACTGTTTATTTAAGCATGTAGATATTTAAGGAGGATACCATACATATTCCATTCAAAAATATGTACATATGGGAAAAGAGACACTTTGTATAAGGCTGTGGACAAAATCCTGTTGCTTAGCATAGTAAATCACACTCAAGTAAGTCCATTGTAGGCATACTTCAGTCTCCAGAGACTATGGTAACGTGCTTTGTATAGAGGTCTTGAAACAGTATCTGGTGTGGCTGAGAAGGCCAATTTGAGAGTGACAATCCTTTCCATACTGAAGACAAATAAAATCTATCCCCTGTCCAGCTCCCTGATTTTGCTGGTTTCAGGACTGCCTCTTTGCCTCGGCCCGCTGGACAAGGGTCTCTTCTAATTGGGAGAGGCCATGATGCATCGCCTGCCTCCAGGCTGAATGCTCAGATGTCAAGGGTTCCCATCGGTTGAGGTCCATTCCTAAAGCCTTCAGATCCCACTTGCAGATATCCTTGTATCGTAGCTCTGGTCTCCCTCTGGGGCGTTTTCCCTGCACTAATTCTCCATAAAGGAGATCTTCCGGAATCCGACCCTCAGCCATTCTCACCACACGCCCAAGCCAACGTAGATGTCATCTAAGTCCATTTACTCAGTGGACATTTAGTGAGTCAATTGCTCTGTTGTTCCATTGAATCAAATGGCCCTACTCAAACTGCTACCGCCCAAGCCAACGTAGATGTCATCTAAGTCAATTTACTCAGTGGAGATTTAGTGAGTCAATTGCTCTGTTAAGTTCCATTGAATCAAATGGGCTTACTCAAACTGCTACTTCATAGTAAGTTACAGTTCAAGCAGGCCCCTTTGAAACAATGGAATTTAGGGAACAGCTGATTCACTAAATCCTCATTGGTTCAATGGGCCTACTCAAAAGCCATTTATTACCCAAAGTGACATGATTTGGACCACTGTACAGCAGCCTTTCCCAGCCTGGTGGCCTCGCATTTTGGACAACTCCCATCATGACTGACTACTGCTTATGTTGCTGGGGGCTGATGGGAATTGTAATCCCAAACAAAGAAGACTTTTGAGCTAGGGAAGTTTGATGACTATAGTTTAGCCTCACAGGAGAAACATGTTTTGAAACAACCTTCAGGCACACAAAACTATAATTTCAGCAAACCAGTACTCTCCCAACCACTGGTCATTTCATTAAAATAAACCTCCTGGGAATGCATCTTTTCCAGGAATGACTGAATTTCCAAAAACTTGTTTTTCCCTTTGTTAAAAGTAAAGTCGACTTGTACAGGTGAGAAAACACTGACTTCTAGATAGACATGTTACTAAACTCCACTGCTTTAATACAGCTTCTACAGCATTTAAAAGTTATTAGTCAGAACTAAAATAGACTGATTTTTTTTCTTTTCTATCTCTTTAGTTCACCTTGCTAAGCTATATTCAAAGATAAAAAAGTCCTCAAGAAAAGTTGGTAAGAAGGGGAAATTAAAAGCGCCGCGGGAGTTTCAAACGCATTCATTAGTACTAATGATACAGGTGACCATCAAAATAATGATCAGAATATCCCAGCAAAATAACTGAGTCGTGACATCGGGTCGGAGAAGTGAAATTGAACACGGTGATCCAGGGCAGAAACCTTAGGCTCAAGCAGGTTCCTTGTTATGCAGAGTCCTACATCATCCACAGATGGCCACCTGGTCTATCAAAACATCATCCGCGTGAGACAATCCTACCGGAAAACACAAAATTCAAGCAACGAAAACGGAAAACAACAACAAAGCACTGTCTGTTGTGCCTTATCCGAATCCGCACAGCAGCCTTACCGAAAACATCTGGAGACAGAAAATAAACAAAGTAAACGCCACACTGGGAACATATATATCTTTAATTTCACTGATTTCCCCCCGACCTGTTTCGTACCACAACTCTGCCATCGGAGACGAAGAAAACTTAAGCTATATATTTTTTTCTTCGGGGTGGAGGAGTACGATCTGCAAACAGAAGCTCGAGCAACGAGCAGTACTTACTTAAATAACGCTCTGCAGGCAGCACCCGACCAACGCGGAGGGCAAGGCAGCACCGACTCTTTTCTTTTGAGATGTAGCCAGACTTTATGCTTTTCCCCCCGGCAAGATCAGGCAATTTCACCCTCAGTGGCCCGGTACCATCGTCCCCTCACAAAGGAGGGGGAACCATCTGGACGAGTAGAAATTGGAATTCGGCATCGGGAGTTTCCCTTCGAAACCTCGCCCTTTCGGGGATTCGAGACCAATGGACTCGCGAAGCCCTGCGGTCGCAAAGAATCCGCCAATCGCCCGCGCCAGCCTCCCACACGATCCTGCCCCGGCGCTGCCTGGCGGATCCTTCCAAACCCGACGGCTTGTAAACAGTGGCGAAAGCCGCTCTGCCGCCTTTCTCAATGGAAACCCCACGTGGAGGGGCAGGGCGTAGTAACCCCCCCTCAGGGGGAGGGCGATGGAGGCGGCTCCTCTTCCCTGCAGCGCGATTGGCCGGCCGAGGACAGAAAAGAGAGAAGCTTCTCCCTGATTGAAGGGTTGGCTCGTCAGTCCAAAGGGGGAGGGGTTGGCGGTGGAGGTTTAATTTCAGCTCCGTTCGGGTCAAATTAAACAACGATTTCTTGAGAAGCGTTCTTCAGCCTGTGGTGTAACACTGAAGTCATGGAGAGGGGAAGGCACAGGCTCTTAACCCCTGCTTTGCGCATATTTCATCCTGAGTCACACCCCAAGGACTGAGAAAAGCAGAAGGGACGTGGTGGCATTGCGGTTAAACGGCAGAAGCCTCTGTGCTGCAAGGTCGGCAGACCAGCAGTCGTGAGATCGAATCCACTCGACCACGCTTGTCTCAGCTCCTGCCAACCTAGCAGTTCAAAAGCATGCAAATGCGAGTAGATAAATAGGTACCACCTCGGTGGGAAGGTAACGACGTTCTGTGTCTAGTCACACTGGCCACGTGACCACGGAAGATTGTCTTCGGACAAACGCTGGCTCTACGGCTTGGAGACAGGGATGAGCACCGCGCCCTAGAGTTGGACACGACTGGACTAAATGTCAAGGGGAACCTTTACCTTAAACTGTGGCTAATACGTTTCTTAAGAACTAGTGCCATGAGTCCGGTTCTATGGCAGTGCCTGGGAAGAAGTTTGCTGCAGCCCATGAGCGATTGGCACAGAAACGATTGCTAGTCCATCATCCTAGAGAAGGGGGAGCAGGATTGCTCTGGGGTGCTTTCCATCCTGGTAGGGTAAATCCAGTTTCTGAGCAAGGTATTGGAGGTCCATCCGTGCTTTGACGCTGAGGTGGTTATTATATGCCATCAAGTTGCCTCCGATGTATTGTGACCCGATGAATGAGTGCTTTCCAAAATCTCCTGTTGTCCGTAGCCCTGCTCAGCTCTTGTAAACTCAAGCCCGTGGCTTCCTGGCATCAACAGTTCATTTGGAGGGGCATTGCCTCCCTCCCTCCGAAACTAAACCTGGGTGGTAACAAGAAGAATGATCTGTTCAGATGAAAGGTGATTTTGAGTGCCAGACTAGAATCGCTTGGCAGGCTTAGGATCAAATGGGTGAGATATTGGCCAGAATTGGTCAGCCAAACTAAAGTGGAACTATTGAATCAACTGGATTTACATAAATGTAACTTCCCCTTAACAGTAAATTCAATAGGTCTACTTGATTTGGGACTACCAATAGTCCCTAAATCCCTGAAGGAAGCAACAGGCTTGTTGAATTTACAAGAGCTGAGCAGGGCTGTTGGGGAACAGGACCTTCTGGAGATCTTTTTTGTTGTTTAGTCATTAACTCGAGTCTGACTCTTCATAATGCCAAGGACCAGAGCACACCAGGCCCTCCTGTCTTCCACTGCCTCCTGGAGTTGGGTCAAGTTCATGTTGGTTGCTTCGATGACACTGTCCAACTATCTTGTCCTCTGTCATCCCCTTTTCCTCCTGCCTTCACACTTTCCTAACATCAAGGTTTTTTCCAGGGAGTCTTCTCTTCTCATGAGATGGCCAAAGTATTGGCGTCTCAGCTTCAGGATCTGTCCTTCCAGTGAGCACTCAGGATTGATTTCCTTCAGAATGGATAGGTTTGTTCTTCTTGCAATGCAGGTGACACTCAAGAGTCTCATCCAGCACCACAATTCAAAAGCATCAATTCTTCAGCAGCCAACCTTCTTTACAGTCCAGCTCTCACTTCCATACATTGCTACAGGAAAAACCATAGCTTTGACCATGCCGACCTTTGTCAGCAAGGTGATGTCTCTGCTTTTTAAGATGCTGTCTAGGTTTGTCATGGCTTTCCTCCCAAGAAGCAGGCGTCTTTTAATT